GGCAGAGCACAGCCTCAGACCTGCAGATTTTTTCCTTAGCCCCTCATGGCTTTTTAGGGTCTGTGGCCTTCCAGCAACAGCCTAATGCAACATAAAGGGCACTTTACAAAGGCAAATGAATGTATTTCACTCAAAACTTGCACTATTCATGTAGTTTGGGCTGGGGGGGGTTCTTTCTGCATAGAGTTGATGTGATGCAAAGGGGGAATGACAGGATGAAGACCTGACAAGGTGTTTTTCTGCTCCCAGACTGGCACCATCCTAGCAGAGGGCTGAAATTAAATATTTTCCCTTCTCTCTGCTTTAACATTCCTGTTTTTAGCAAGGGAGCTGGCAGAATTTTAGACCAATGAAGAACTCTTTCAACTAATTAGAAATAATTATTTTATTGCAGTAGTCAGCTAAAGAACACTACCTTTCCAACCCGTAGTCTAAACTGCTACTTTCCCCTTGATTTGGTGCTGACTTGGAAATATAAACCCTAAAGCTCATCAGAAAGATTTATTCTAATATTTGGTTCATTGTCCATCTCTGCACTTCCTGCTGCATTCACAAACAAGTGTTGTGGCAGAGAGCAAGTGTCTGTGTTATCACATGGTTTTAATGTTAAACTATGGGTAAAACTGTAGATCACATGGAATATTTAGGGAATGTGTCATGGGATAGTAGTAGCCTGTGAGCAAGGCCTTCACAAGAACTAGTTACAGTGGCCTGTTTAGCCAAAAGAGAGGGAAAATGAAATATTTGTGGCCAGCCCTTACACAACAATGGTACATGGAAACCAGCTGGAACATCCTTGTAAGACATGCGAGAACAGCCAGCGAATGCAAAGGGGCATCTGAAACCCGAGAAAGCTCATTTATATAACCCTGTGAAAGTGAAAATGGAAGAGGGAGAAGGCAGCAAATGATACAGAACAGAACCTAACAGTTTGCCAAAAACATGGTTCCAGTGTAGGCCCTGTGTCATTTTGGCAGAGATGGTCACCCCACGGATCATGGGATGTTAGGAAACAGGCAGCAGGAACAGCCTGGCACCATGGAACTTGTTGGGATACCACAGATTCCACGGTATCTCTGGCTGTGGGCAGGGTTCAGGAACAAATTCCCATGTGCACAGTCCATATGCATGTCCTGTGTCACACCACCAGGCTTTGGGTCACAATCCCAAGGGCACCCGGAGTGCTCAGCAAAACTGGCTCCAGGTTCCAATCAAGTATCAATGAACATGTTCATGAAATTCAGAGATTTCTTTTAGTGAGAAGGAAGCGTCTTTTTCCCTACCCTCATGTTCTTTTGGTGAACTAACAGTTTGAGGACAATGTCTTAAAAGCAACCTATGTTTTTTTCTAAGTAAAATAAAATAACATAAAATAACCCAGCTGTTATTGCAAACCATGTCCCAGAAGGCAGGCCAAGCCCCTTGTCATGACCAAGGTTCTATACTATTAGGCCAAAATAACTATAAGGATGTGCATAAAACATTGCATTCAAGAAAAAAAAAAAAAAGAGAAAGGGTACAACAACTAAGCACAGGCAGCTACCACAGCAAGTCCAGCCCCTTTCAAGATACATTACTGGGTTCATTCATGTTGCACAAGTCCAAGGGAACAGGCAGCAGCAGGGCTGCAGCCAAGAGTTGGGGTGAGACAAATCATAACCACTGAAATAAGTGATGGACAAAGAAAAACTGAAGTCAAACATGAATTTAGCTGAAGTCAGTTACTAAAGACAGATATTTTTTTTCTTGTTTTATTTTAGTAGTTCTGCATCATTATTTCTCTCCAACGCTGTGAACACTACAAAAGAATTTGGTTTCAAAATGAGAGCAACAGTGCCATGAAGTCACATGGTTTCATGAGTTGGAGTGTTGAATAATCCTCAGGTTTGCAGTTAATAATCTCTGGCAATCGGGCCATTTCTCAGGTGATGGGATTGCAAAGGCCATGCCCTCACCTGCTGCAGCTGGAAGGAGGCAGCACCACTGCCTGCCGTGGCTCCAGCACTGCCTGGAAGACCCTAACATCCTGATGCCCAAGTGCTGCTGATGGCCAAGCAAGAGAGGGTTGAAATATTTTCTTATTCCACAAGCCATTTTTATACTGAGTAGCATGAATTCAGCTATTTTGTGGGTATGTATCAAATTAACATTTTTGCAGAAAGGCAATGTATAAAATGCTCAGTTTCAGATTCTTTCACTTTTAAACTCTAATAGTTTTAAGTCATTTTCCTCTATATAATGACCAAATCCATTCTTTTTCTGGGAGAGTGGCAAGGGAAAAGATTGGACAGTCATTTGAATAGTCCATTTTCAAAGGAAATAAAAAAATGGAACTTCAGAAGAGTCTTACATTAGAACTTCTTTTTCTTTTAGCCAGCTAAAAGGACTAGTCTGTATACAAGCAGTAAAATCTATGAAATTTTGAGGGTCAGGAAGAAGCAAACAAGTGCCTTCCTGTGTTTCAGGTAACTCTGTTCCTTTTGAGAATCCCCAGTTACTAACCTATTAATATATTCCTTAAGATTAATAGTATGTGAGACAAATTCAGATCAGTTTAACTGCTCTTTTCAGGGAATGGAGCAGAAGACATTGTTCTTCTTTCATGTTGCTGGCACAGCTTAGGAGGTAGTTGAGCTTCAAAATAATGTACCAGCTAAAATATACAGTAGGGAAAAAGCATTAAGGTAATGGAAACTCAACATTTCTAATGTTCCAAACATATGAATAGAACCCGAGTCAGTACATTAGACAATTGACTGGCTTTGCTTGACTGCACGCAGGAATAAATGGAAACATCCTTATTTCCTATCCCAAGGGGCAATTATTTCACAGCCTGGGTTTGTGCATTAATAAAAAGCAAGATTCCATTGTCTGGTAGCTAAAATGTCCTCCTATATATGCTGTATAAGCAGTCCAGCAGTAGAAACAGGAAAAAAAGAACAGAACTCTAGCATTGCATTCTCTAAACAAGCTCTTTCCATAGCCAGCATTTTTCTGTGTATATATATAATCCATAAAAATACATTATCAGAATGGTGTATTGTTTGTGTATTTCAGAAGTTCTTGTTAGTCATCATGTGACCTGGCTGCTCTTGTGCCTACAGATGGTCCAAAATGCTCATTTCTGAAATGCTACAATGAGTCTAACAAATGCAAAGGCTGGAATTTCACACCTCTTTAGGAGAGAAGGGGACTGGATTGCAACTCAAAAAACAGCTTTCCTACAGCTCACCACTGATATAGTCACCTATTTCTTTGAGCTTCCCTTTCCTTTCTTCTCCCTACACACCGTCAGCGTTTTGTCTTTATCCTTTAAAGGGAGGACATACAAAATAATTTATAAACAAAGCATTCAGAAATTGTACATATTTTCCCTTCTCCACACCTGTGGAAGAAACACTGCCGTGATGGGAACCAAATCCTCACTCCCTGTTACAGCCCAGTGTCCCCATTCCTGTTTGCCCAAGCCACTGACCCTCAAGGATGGATCAGGTGTGGAAACACCAAGGACACACTAAAGCTCAGATTCATGTTCCTTTTCCAGAAAGCACTGAAAGAAAAAGCCTTATTTCTCTTCAGGGAGGTTTGTTGGGTGATTTTGCATCTGAGACACCAGAAGCCCCGGCTCCTGCCTCACCACGACCGGCCCAAAGCACTTTGGGGACTTCCTTCAAAATGTAAACTTCCTCAAATCAGTAAAACTGGGCTGAAACCAGATGGGAGACCTATCAAATTTCACACCCCAGGTTTCTGCAAATATTTGTCATTAGAGACAGATTATTCTAATAAAGTCAGATTCACTAGGAGACAAAGCTGGTAGGATTGATTTTTATTAAGAAGCCTTGCAGTTTGTGTTTAAGCTGCCTATTTAAGCAGCCAGCAGGCAGGATAACGACATCTGAGGAAGGGAAAAAAAAAAAAAAGATTCTTGGAGATACAGAATGTGTTTAATTGAAACCATTAGTTTTACTGGCAAACAGCTTCATATTTCTGTTCTGTTAATCCGAACAAAGTGCTGCAATTATGACTCAATACATAATGTCCTCTAGTGCTACTCGCCCCACATTCCCCAAGTATAGAAACAAAACAGAACTGTTTTCAGTTAACAAAACATTCCATGCTTCTATCCAGAATACTTTTATTATATGGTTGTCATATACATCAGAATTATATTGGGAACATTTACAAATATGTAAAGATAGTTCAGAACCTCCATTATTCACATACACACTAACTCACACACTCGTTTTGCATGTCTAGTCAATTATCAGGTGAATGATGCACAAAATTATTGCTTTGTGAACATACACCTCAGATTAAATCTAATCTTCAGTGGCAAGAATTGAGATTTAAAAAAAAAAAAAAAGTCTTAAATACCCTGTATAACATACCTGTGCATAAACCTAAAGATATGTTTAGCTTACCCATTACCTTTGAAATACTTACCAAAATTAAAATTTGAAACCCATTTATAAAAAAAAAAAAGTATTAAAAAGTTCACCATTATTTACAAATCCGATTAAATTACACATAAATAAATATTTACATTCAACACACTGCTTCCCTTAATACACATAAAGCCTCCCTGGAAATATTTTTTGGCCTTAATAGGCAAAAAAATGTAAAATAACCCCCACAAAAAGTTATGTGCCTATTCTTTCAAGTTTCCCCCCCAATTTAAAAAACAAGACAATATAAATATGTGAATAAAGCTGCAATATCCTTAGACACAGAAAGTGAATTTTCTAAAAGCATTTCATTTTGAACTATTCCTCATTAAAAAAATACCAAGATAATATTAACTGCAGCCAACATGACTGCAGTTTTTAAAAGCCTTAATATTTCCATAAAAAATAAGCATGTCAAATGCCATCAGATAACTTTTAAGTCTAGCAGGATTTTAGTACTCTCCTATGGTAATCTGAAAACAATGAAAATGAAAAAAATTCCCCACCAAAATAAAACAGAACAAAAAAAAAAAAAAGCCCCCCACAGAATAATCTTACTATTTTCAGGTGTTTATAAAAAAATTTTAATGTACATAAATCTATATACCATTGTTTAATACTGCTTTATTGTTACTGTTCCGTTTAGAGAGAATAAAACCCTGAAATTGTATCAGATAACAAACAGGCTTCCAATCTAAAATCTGTATCTTAAAAACTGTACATGAAGCTGGTCACCACTAGATACTTAGATATGGAGAAGAAATCTAAATATATCTCTCTGTATATTTCCATCAACCCCCCCTTTATAGCACCACTTTTACAGCAAAGGATTCAATACATTGTACCAAGTACTTATCTTCATGTAATTGCTTCCACAGAAAAGGGATACTGCAGCTTTTAGAAAGACTTGTCTCACGGATGGATCCAGGAGGAGTGAAGATCCTGAATGATATTCATATTTTTCCCCTTTTTCCCCTCCTTTCTTTTTTTAAAAAACAAAAAAAGACAGAACCAAAAGATAAAAAAAAAAAAAAAACCACCAACCAAATCTCTATGTTCCCCCTGGCAAGAAGATCCCAGTCTGTGTTTAGGAGGAAGAGTAAAGTCTGGTTTTCCTTTCACTTCCTGTGCTTATCCATTTTATCCATGGTTTTGTTGGTTTCTGCGGGGCTCTGGTCGCCAGCGTTCATGTATGATTTGTCTGCTATTTTTAATGCTTCATTTAGGTAGTTCTGGACGGATGTCATGGCAGCACAGATGGCAGCACTCCCAAAGCCATGTGTGATCAGGCTAAAATGAGTCAAACAGCCCTGGATGCCAGGGTCCAAGATGGGACTGGGTCTTGTGTTTCCAAGAGGAGTTCTGTCCTGAGTGAGGAGGTCTGTGAATTCCTTACAGATCTGCCTGCAAGACACAAAAGGGATCACACTTTACACCACGGTGGGAATTTATGCAAAAGCAAATAAATAAATAAAAATAACAGGAGTCTGTATCACATATTTGGCACTTATGTGGGAATTAAGAGAAATTCAGTATTGCCTCAGCAGCACTGTCTAAAAGTAAAGCCTGTTTATTAGCACCACTTTCTGATGAACCTTCTGTTATATCTACGTCATCAGAACACTCCACAAAATAATCTCCCCACCTCTGGTGCCTGGCTGGCTCTGCATCATTTGCTCCAGATTTTAAGGGGGGAGTGGGAATTCAGTGCTAGTTTCTATGAGAACTTTCACAGCTGCAGTTTAGTGATTTAGAAAGACTCAAGCAGCTGAACAGGAGATTCAATTTAGTTGTGTATATTCTATGTGTATGCCCCCTTCCAGAGAGACCGAGGCCCTGCTCCTGCAAACACTAACACATATGCCTGGCAAAACATGAGTGGTTAATAATGCTCCAGCATATGTTGTTTGCTGCTTGCAAATCTGTCCCCTCGAAGGGATTTCACAGGAGCTGAGCAGTCTTAACAGAATCATCACTTTTATCAGAATTTCTCAATCACAAACATCCTCCAGAAGATTATTATTATTAGTGCCAATCACAATACCAATAATGAAAATACTGAGGAGCAGAAAGAGCAGTGCTCAGCAGAAATTACCATCATCATGTTCAAACTATAGGAACGAGAGACTAGATTTCTAAATTTATAAGAGATAGAGATCTTTTACAAGAATATTTCTCAGGAAGGCTGGATAAATTCAGCAACAGGAATGTGTTTTGCATGCCTGATTTGAGCCTGAAGTTAGGGCTACACTGCTCTGCAGTTTAAGCAGACTTTTCTCAAACCCTCTGCAGAGCAAGGGTGCTGTCAGACACAGGGAATTACATTGAGCCCAAACCAGAAAACATCTCGGACCAGAACAAATCATGAACTGAAGCTCTGTTAAACCTCAGTCTGGGAAAAGAACCTCATCAGGGGAAGGGGACAGCAAGCACTCCAGCCACCAGTTTAAGATAAGCTTAACACAGATATTTCCTACCAGAGACCTGTTCAGGACGTGGTTTATTTACAGGTACAAAGTGGCTGCAGAACAGCCATAACCAAGCTGCTCTTCTTGACCCTTCCTTCCCTCTGTGTCAAGGTTTGTAACAGGAATTTAGTTTTAAGCCCAAGGGACTTTCCACACCTACCAAAGGATGGCTTCCAGTGAACTATAAAAATCTTCAGCCATATTAGGGAAAAAGGGACTATCCAGTTCTTGACTCCCAGTGTCCCAGGAGGAAAGCTGTGTGCTGCTACTGCCAAAGGCAGTCAGGAGGACACAGGGGCTGAACTTCCCTGGCGCCCAGCACGCCCACCAGTAACTCTGCTTGGAGACACTGCACATACAGAGATGGGGGAACCATCTCCTGCTCCCAGCCCCAGCACTGGTTCACATTCCCAGGCCACACCAGCTTTCCAAATCCTAAGGCCTGTCAGACCCAGGGACATCTTTCCTTACAGATATAGTTGTCTGGGTATAGGACATTTTTCTGAAGTTTTTACTACAGTTAAAGCAGTTTGGACCCGTTCTGTTCTTTTTCTTTTGAGTTATCCTACAGGATTGTTCCTATTATTATTGGTTCAGACTAAAATAGCTGCTGCCATAATTGAATTCAAACCAAAACCAAATAAAAAGAATTGCTTCATCTTCCCAATTAAAATTACACACGAAAATGTACCAAACTGTCCCCCAGTCACAGACATTCATGGGCAGACAAAAGCATGTTTAAAAGGGAGAGGAAAAAAAAAAATTTGAAGCTGAAAACTTACTTTGCAGCAAGAAGCATATTCTTCCTGTTTGCCATTTCATTGCGGCCCATGTGTGGTCTGGTTAAATATTCAGCCACTGCTTTGGAAGGAAACTCTGTCTCACAAACATAACCAAAGTCACGAGCAAGATGTACAGCTTCACCTGGTGTGGGTAAAAGAGTGCTTGTTAAATGGTGTAACACCTATTTATCAGAAGGAAGTCAGGGAAATTAAGGAAAAAAATATGCTGTGAATTTTTAAAGTGTATTCTTGTTTTAGAAAAGGACATTATATTACCACTATATCACTCATTACCATTTTCTAATTGATGGATCAGTGTTTCTTTCGTAAGTTTGCATCAAGAAAAAGAAAAATATCTACCTGGTGACTGCTATAAAAGAGAATTCTCTTGCTTTTATGTAAGCAAAAACTCCTGTCTCTCTCCAGAATAACTGCACAGCAAAGAACAGAATTCAGTCCAGATCAAATTATCCACTGATATTTAAGAATCTCTGGCAACTAAATTCCACTTTTGCATTAAAAATTTTCAGTTTGTTTTCTACTTTTTCATAAGCATATTCATATAGAAAACAAAACTGCAAGGTGTATAACTAGGCCTTTTTTTTTTTTTCTTTAAAGCAATGTGATCAGGCTTACAAAAAATGGATTGGCATGGTCAGTTCATTATCTGCAAGGTTCCTGTGTGCACGTGGCACACACATCAGCTCTCTGAAACCCAGCTTTCAAGGAAAGGTCTTAAATGGAAGTTGCTTTTTTATTTGAGCTGATGTAAAAGTGAATTAGCAGTATTGTTAGATCACTCCTCACTTTTCATTTCAGTTGCTGCTTCTATTCCTATTAAACTGTGCCACTACCAGGAGCTGCTTTAAACAGACACACCAAACATAAACCACACACATACATATATATACACCCTTCAAGTCAGTTTAACTGACAGAGGGGTCCACAGAACATGGTACAGATTAAAGGGGCTCCAGTTTCCTATCAGGAAGTAAAAACCTATAAATCTCACTTTATATGCTTGTTTATTAGAAAAGCTTCTGAGGATACCGCTGAGGTAGGGCCAGGCTTTGGGGTCAGCTGCCCCAGACTTTTAAAGTTGCCCAACAAGGAACCAAACCCACTAATGTGATGAGTTTCACACCTTTTACCATCCCTGCCTGTCGCTGCACACACACCTTTATGAAACCCAAAACAACCTTAAGAAACACAGACTGGACAAACATGCCTTTGGAACATCTTGGCACTTAGGAGAGTTGCTCCATCCCTTCGGCTGGAGCATTGGCTGGGTTTGTGTGAGCAGGGCTTAGGGACCAGATTTGAAGGGAGAAGAAGGGGGACAGGAGTCCCTCAAAGGCAGCATTCCCATCATGCTCACTTTAAAATAAACAAAAAGCTCTCCATTACTTTCACTGGCTTTCTAGCCTTTCCATGCTCTGCCCAGAGGATAAAAGCTGCACACAAAGGAAAAAAAGTTCATTTTTAAGACAGGTTCAAGACTGACCTTCCACCAGAGATGTCAATAATGTCACATTTGCAGCTTTCCTTCTGCCAGCAGGAAGATTCAAACCAATTTTATCCAGTTTTTCCCTTAATGATCTGCCACCATTTTTAGATTTGGCTCTGTAATTAAAGAGAAAAAAATGGCCTTATTTATCTTAGGGGAACACTTCTTTTTAAGATGAGAAACTCCAGTTACTGACATTCAATAGGGTTCTACAGAGGTGAAGATAAAAAACAGGCTTTTTTCAAGTGACCTACTTTTTAAATGCTGTGCTACAAACCAGCCAGGATGAAACACAGCAGGTCAAAATCAAAATGTTTCAAACTGCACCACTGAAACCAACAGCTGTAGAACAATCACAAGCCAAATTAGGTGTATGCAAAAAAGGACATCTAAAGTGTCCTTCTAATCATTAATCAGGACTACAAGATTTAATCAAAAAATTGTTCCATGGGGAAACAGTTTGTGTTGGCCATGAGCTGGTTTTGAGACAAAAACTGAACTTTAAACAGAGAATAAGAATTGCGGTGAGAGCTGTTAATAGCACTTCTCGAGAGGTAGCAGAAGTGCAAAGAAGTTTTATTTCCAAAGCCTATTAGGATTCAGTGTCGTTGGGCTTCTTAAGAATCAGTAATTCGCTAAAAGGCTTTCTTAGCTTCTCGTTATGCTGATCTGGCTGCTCTCACACCCCAGCACAAGGGAAATCACAAACAATAGACAGGGAGGGGATGGTGGGGATGGTCGGAAGGAGAGTTCAGCCTACCTTCTGAGGACTCCTCCTAGCAAAGAGGCATTGAGACACTCCGGGGGCGAGAGCCGCCTCTGCACCTCTGCTACTGTCACTTTGTATTTCGACGTGGAGCTCAGGAGGGAAAGTCTCCCCGGAACGGAACAAAAAACTTCGTTGGGGTTTATGACCACCCCTATTAATCCATCCTTTTGGCAGGGGAGGCTCAGAGCACTGTTTTTCGTTAGGGAAATGGGACCTGCGGGAGGAGGAGGGAAAGCAGGTATTTTATAAAAGGGAAAAATAAATAGGAAGTGGCAAGTGAATTTCCTTTCTAGAAAAACAACCCAGAAGGGAGGATTTCGTTTGGCATTAAATGCTCACACCACTGACCCCCATCCCCAGAATCAATCTAGGGCACAGGGACCGAAAGGTCCCCACAGCTATTCCCGACCAGCTGGATTTTGCCTCCGGATTCCAAAGAGCTGCTGAACACAACTAAGAATGCTTTTCAAAGCGCACAAACCTCACATCTCTGAAGCAGCAGGCTGCAAGTTAGCAAATCCGCGCTTATGAAAAGCCCGACACAACTACAGACTCCAAATTAGCATCCTTCAGCTACTGCCAAAAACTCTTTCCGAGCCGAGGCAGGGAGAAACCTCCCAGCTCCCGCTGGGGTTCATCTTCCACCTCACACACGCAGATTTAAGAAACCGCCTTTAGAATTTAATCCCAACAAATTCATAACAGACACTACAACAACAGAGAGGGATGCAGCCCAGGGCAGAACCGAAAGTAAAGCGCTGCTCCTTAATAGCTTCAGCCTTAAGGTGAAGAGGGAAAACAAAGGCTCTGTTGGAAGGAGCAAACCACTGATCCAGCTTTTCCGTGCCCTTGCAAATCCACCCAGTTCAGCCAGTGATGTGCTGCTGGCTCGGGGCACCGAGCGAAAGGGTTAAAGAGCTGAGATCGGCCCCACTCCCGGAGGGGGAAGATTTGTCAGTGGTGCATCTGACAGCGAAATTATTCTCCCATGAGCTGAAGGCAGCAATCAGCGCTCTGACACACACTTCTGCTTTTCCTCAGTTAGGTATTTGTTTGAAGTCTTCAGAGGAAACTTCCACTGATTTTTTTTTTTTTTAGCACAAATTTGTTTAAAAACAAAAGCAGGGAAAAAACCCTAAATGACTGTAAATTGAGTCAATACGTCTTCCTCCTTCCTCAAAACCTCAGCTACAAAACAATTTCGATTAAGATAAAGCCGAGCAGGCTTCTGTCAGCGATCTCATTCCCTTCTCAAGTCTTGCAAAGAAGTTAAAAAAAAAAAAAGTTGGGAAAAAAAAAAAGGGAAACCACCCTCCGTCTTCGAGTGCTAGCAGCAACAAAACCCCCAAAATAAACAAACAAAAAGCAAAGCCCCGTGTCACTTTATACACACATATTCCAGGGTAGATTAAATTCGGTTCAGGGTCCTGCTCCATGACACAAGAGCACACAAGGGGGGACAGCCGGTGTCCCCCGGAGGAGTCTTGCACCCCGAGGCAACCCTGGGGGTTTGTCCGCGCCCGCCACCTTCCCTCGCACAGCATTAGAAAAGTGTAACGACTGAGAGAGTGGAATAAAAACTCCTCCGCCCTCCCGATCCCAAAGGATCCGTCTCTATAAAAATAATAGGGCGTCTCTTCACCGGTGCGTCATTAAACTTTTAACTATTGACAAGGGAAAGTAAAACTGCGATGCCACCTTACTGACCTTTTCTAATGACTGTCTGGTCATGCATTAGTAAGTGTTGATCTTCCACATTCTGGAAAGAGAAAGGGGGAGAAAGTTTCGCACCTTGGAGAGCTGAGAGGGAACAAGGCGGGGGGCTTTTGGGAAACCCATCCCCTCCCCGCGCGTCCCCATTTTAAGGGCCGAAGGGTAGAAAAGGCGGATTTCTTTCCCAGGACGGGGATGGGGCAGGTAAAGCCGGGATGTGCAGGAGGGGACGGTGTCCAGGGAGAGCCTGTCCCGCTTCCCCTGACGCGCCGAGCGGCCCGAGGGGGATGTCTGGGGGGTCCTTACCTGCACCTCCTCCATCTGGTGAGCCATGTCGTGCAGGCCCAGGTTATCGGCGAGCGCCGAGGCGTCCAGCCCGTGCCCGTGGGGCAGGAGCAGCTCGGAGCGCCGGTAGGTCTCCCGGCGGCTGCCGGCGGAGCCGCTTTCCAGCGCCGAGAGGTGCGGGACGAGCCCGGGGCGGCCGTGCGGGGCGAGCCCGGCCGGGTCCTGGCTCTGCCGGTTGGGCCAAGCGCTCTGCTGCTGGCTGGGGGGCGGCGGCGGCGGCTGGTGCAGGGGGTTGATGGAGAAGGGGTCCCCGAGGTGCGAGTAGGGGTCGCTGGACTGGGAGTAAGGCAGCGGCTGGTACGGAGGGGGAAAGTAGGGGGGCTGGAAGTCGGAGGCGCCCGAGTGGGAGAGCGGCGGGGCCGGGCTGTACAGGTGCTGGCTGACGGCAGAGAGGTGCGGGAGCCGCGGGTTCCCGTTGCTGCTCCCATCGTGCCGGTCCTGGAAAGCACAGAGGGATGGGAGAGAAGGGGGCAGCCGTCATCGGGGCAGCCTGGAATCGGGGACACGGCGAAAGGGGGCTGCGGGCAGTGGCACTTGCTGGCACTGGGGAAGGAGAGAGCAGCGCCGAGAGCCACCCCGCTCCTGCCCAGGGAGCTTGCTCTTTGTAGGGCACTTCGCGGAAGAAGTCAGCCCCACTCCCAGGGAAGAGACTGCACAGCAGTTCTCGCTGCAGTGCTCATCGCAACTACAGCAGACCAACCCTAACCCTCCCGCTTGGGCAAGTCATCGGAAGAACCATTAAAATCAGAAAAATTCAAATCAGCGACGCAGCTTCATTTCCGCCTCGCTGCCCTGGCTAGGGAGGAGATACCGGGGCCGGGAATTGAGGACCCGCCACCCTTGAGGCGAAAGGCCCATGGGTCCTCGGCACCCCCATCCCTCCCCTCCCACCCCTCCATGTCCCGGGGGCCGCCCGGGACTCTGCCCGACGGCCGCGGAGCGGCCGGGAGGGCCGGCGGGGCTGCCTCCAGCCCGTCCCATCGCCGCTTCTACCCCGATTTCCAATCTCAGCAGTCAAAGCTGAAATGTCTACATTGAGCTGATCCAGGGATTTAGCAGCTTCTGGCTTCACGGTCATTAAAATAACAGGGCTAGTTAATAAGAGGTGAATGGGGTCCCAATGGAGCGTGAAGCGGGGACTGCAGCTAATCTGTAGGAGCCGAGCAGGCGGAGCGCGGCCAGCGGGGCCGGGGGGCGGCACAGGGGGAACACGGGGGACACGGCCGCGTTCGGAGAGATCAAAACCCGGGAGCACCTCGCGGCGGGCGGGAGCCGCTCCCGGGGAGGAGAAACGTGGGAAGGAACGGTTCGCCCAGCCCAGCTGCTACCTGCCGGCCGGCCCCTCCGCATCGCCCAGCCCCCGCCCGCCCCAGCGGGACCCGCAGCTCGCCCCGGTCCGACCGGCGGGCACGGGGGCTGCGGCTCCGGGAGCTCCCGCACGGCGCTGCCCCACGGGCGCGTGGGGGAGGCGGGATGCGAGGTCGTTCTCCCAGCCGGTGTTTTCACCCAGTTTTATTCGAGAGTTCAAAAGACTCGTTAAAAAAATAAAATTTAAAAAAAAATTATTAGAAATTACAATTCGCACCTCCGGAAAAAAAAAAAAAAAAAAAAAGCAAAAAGCAAACCAGGGGTCTTCGGGCAGGGACAGATCGCGCCCGGCGGGGAGGCGGGAGAGACAGGCGCCGGCTGGGAGGGAGCGGGGTGGGCAGCGCGGCGCGGGGGCTGCGGAGCTCCGCGCTGCCCCCACGCCCGACCCCCCTTCCCCACGGCCGCCCCCTCCCCGCGCTTCTCACCTCGCAGTCCTCTTCGTACTTGACATTATCTGCTAGTTTCCACAACATGGCGTCCAGCGTCCAAACCAGGTGTGCGGTGCCGAAAACAGACGAGAGCTCAGCCCCCCCCCACGGGCGGTAAATCCACGTCGGCGCTGGGGAAGAGGAGCGGCCCCCCGGACGGAGCTCAGTTGGCAGGCATGAAGGCAGATGACGGACTAACCCTCCGCGCTTATGGTCACTCGGGTTTTTTTCCCTGCCCAGACGCCCTTAATGGCAATAGGATTATCCTAACTCCTCCCCAGGGATGGCTCGGGCGCCGCGGCCGCCAGCCACTCAGGAGGGAGCGCGCAGCCCCAAGCCACTCCTTCCGCGCCCGCGGAGCGGTGGGCGGGCAGCGCGGAGCCCGAGCCCCCCCAGCGCCCCCTCCGCGCTCAGGGCACGGGGGGCCAGTCCCACCCCGCGGGGAAGGGGTCATGCGTGGACACCCCCTCGCACCCACTGTAATGAGGCTTCCCCGAATTCCCACACGTGTTGGATTTTTTTGGGGGGTGGAAGTAATGTTGGGTGTTCCCCTGCTCCCCCACGCGTGGAAGGACTTTGCTAAAACCCGCGTGGGGCGGCGCAGCGCCGGTGCCCCCACGCTCGGCGGGTGCGGGGGCTTTTGGGCGGAATAAATTCGGAAAAAGTCCTCGTAGCAAAAGCGAGAAAGTCCGAGCGCAGACGGGGCTTCATTTGCATAATTGTCAAGAGTTTGAATTACTGATTACAACTTGTAAGCTACCAATGTTTAAGGTATAATTTACTTAATGATCCGACAAGATTATTGCAGTCGTGTTGAACCCCCAGTGGGTAAAGCAGCCCTGATTCAGCGTCCCCGATCCAGGCTCTGTGAATTGTGCGACTGGTTCCTCGCATCATTTTTTTTTTTTTAATTTTTTAATTTATTTTTTGTAACGAAAATCCCGCCTGTCTAATCTTTTCGCGCAAACTCGGGGCTGGGGAAGCAGGTGGGAGGTGAGACAGGCAATTTCGGACGCCGTGAGCACACTTTCATCTAAGCTTAGAAAATACTTCCCTGCCAAATTGCTACCTTTCTGCAGGCATTTGATCTATGCAGTTATGTGTGTCAGACAAAATGAACATCGTTTTCAAAAGCAACGACTTCTCCCAGTGTTTTAAGGTGCATCCGGATCACTGCTCATTTACATGAGAGGAGCAAGTGTTTGTTTATTGTGGCAGGGACAAAAGCTGACCCTGGACGGTGCTGGCTGCGGAGATCTCGGCTATCAGTGCCCGGGGACGAGCGCCTGAGAGCTGCTATTAAAGGCCCGAGATAGACCCAGGACTCCAGATTAAACCAGATCGCACTTTCCTCGTTTTGTTTTGTTTTGTTTTTTCCCCTAAAGCTCAGGGAAGAAAAAAATACAGGAACAATAATTAAAAAAAAAAATCCAAACACCAAACATCATCAGACTAAATGAATGATCTAAAAATAAACCCGAGGAGGACGGGGGTGCTGGAAGTAACTGTTGGAGGTGTTATCTGCCTTATCTAGCACGCAGGTGCTGATTTGCAGCAGTTGCATTAAGCCCATCATCATCAGCGACTCCACATTATCATTTTTGGTGGAGTCTCTATTTATTTTTTTTTAACGACGGTGTTTTTCTTCCAGGGATGTTTCTTTGAAATGCAGTTCGCGACGATTATTAGCAGAGTGTGCTTGCGCTGCTCCTGGCGTCATTAAGACTAGGAATCTAAATAATAAAATACAGGGGGAGCTTAAAGTTCATTTGTATTAAAGGGACAAGATGGATTTAGGAAGAAACGAGGAAGGGAATCGTCGAGCTTTTGAGATCAGTTCTTCATTGGTTATTTTTATTATAACCTCAGAAGCCAGATTTTCTTTCTGCTCAGAAGTGTCCCACTGAGAAGCGCACACGATTTCATCATTTTTTGGAATTGTCAGTGCCTGAACTGACACGGTTTGGTGGCCAAAATCGCGAAGATGGATTCTGGTTCTTATTATTTGTTGTGTATATTTGAATAATATTTATAAATAGAGGCTTGGAAGAGGATGAGGGATATAAAGGAATTACCTAAACAAGGCGACCAAAATAAGCACTTGTCTTGCTAGAAAACAAACCAAGAAAGCAGAGAAGAGGCGACGTTTGAAACAAACAAATACGGCGAAGTTTGAGACAAACTTTCCCGTTCATCCACTTGCGCCTCGGTCTCTGCTCGCTGCAGCGGCCGCTGCCAGGGACCGGCGCAGGTCCGGGCTCGGCGGGGAGCACACGGGCAGAGCAAGGCGAGGGAAGGGAAGGCAGGGAGGGAAGGGAAGGCAGGGCAGGGGCGGGCACTGCCGGCCGTCTCCGCTGGTGCCCGGCCCGAGAGCTCAGCCCCGCACCCGGCAGGTGATGCCGCCCCGGGGCCAGCGCGGCCCCTGCCCCGGGTGCTTCTGTCGCGGGATGCTTTGATGAGATGAACGGCCGAGCACCTCGGCAGATCGGCTCTGGTCTCTTCTGGGGGTTAGGGAGGGGGAAAACGCTTTCTTAGCCGCTCCCTCTCCGGAACGTGGCTTTCCGCGATCCTCCGCGGTTCCGCGCAAGCCGAGGGAAGCGGGGCGGGCGGGCCGGGGGTCCGTGCAGAGCCCCCCGGCAGCTGCGCCCGGCCGTGCCCTCCCGCGCCCGGCGGAATTCTCCGTTTCCAGGGGACTCCCGGGTACAGGGAAGGCGCAGGCAGGGCTGCTGCAGGCACACGGAACCTCCCTCGTGAGACACGGGGCAGAGCTGTGCAGCTGCCAGGGACGTTGTTCCAGACAGGTGGAGGCTTTCATTTACTTATTAAAGAAATAAAGTGCATATATATATATATGTATGTATGTATGTATGTATGTGCCCTTGCTTTGGGAATATCCCCTGTTTCCAAGAAGGGGTGTCGGGCTTCCTGGGGTCTTATTCCCTCTCCCCCCTCTTTTGACGACGGTGCAGTTTCCCAGGGGGGACCGCGAAGCACCCCCAGGTGTGAACACGCTTCGGGAGGGGAGCCAGAGCGCACTGCTGAGCCTCTGTCACAGTCGGTAGTTTTCCTATTTGGCAGCAATTAAAAGAGAGCGTGGGGATGCTAATTAGTTACATCCCTCTTCCTCTAAAAATTATTTAAACACATGCATATCTGTATTGTTAATGAGGCTGCAGCAACCTGTCCGGATTGTCGCCTCGGCTCCTGCAGAGCTCTACAAAGGGAGATGCTGCCCCGCGGGCCCGGGAGACTCCGCGGAACTTCCACAGCGACTCGGCGGGGAGGGGCGGAACGCGGGGTGTCCCCCCCGGCCCGCCCCACGCGGCGGAGCCCCCCGGAGGGGCCGGACCCCCGCACGCAGCCCGGAATAGGGGGGCAGAGGGGCTCCTGCGGAGCCGAGGGGGGGCGCGGGGGGTGCCCGGGACAAGTGCCGCGGTACGTACTTGCCAGTCGATCCTCGCCAGCAGAGCCACGGGCCGAGCGGCTCCCGCAGCCGCCTCCGCGCCGGGGCCGCGCCTGCCCTCCCCCTGCCCAAACCGGGACACCCCCCGCCCCGGCAGGGCACCGAGAGGCGGCCCCGCTGCTGGACCGATCCCACCGGCCGCGGCAGAGCCGTGACATTTTAAAGAGGTTTTTTTCCCCGCTAATCCGCCGTTTCTCCTCCCTTTAAGGCGCCCCGGGGGATGGTGGGGAGGAGGGGGTGAGGAGGGGCGGTGTGTGTGTCTGTGCGTGTGTTTCCCCATGGCTGCTGGCACCGGGAGCATCCCTGAAATCCCTGACTGGCGGCAGCCCTCAGTTGTGCCCCTCCGGGAGGGCAGCGGCCGCTTGGGAGCCGCTGGTTCAACCGCACAGCCCCGGGCTGCCCCCGCGTCCCCCGAGGCTCCCGCAGCCCGGGGCTGGCAGCGCCCAGCGGGGCTCGGGGCACCCGCACCGCTGTTACGGGTGTTCAGGGCCACTCTGGGGCTTGGAGCGACCTGGTCTAGTGGGAGGTGTCCCTACCCATGGCAGGGGGGTTGGATCTCTAAGGTCCCCTCCAACACAAACCATTCTATGGTTCTACACCGGTATTAGGGGCTGGCCTCCCTCGGGGCTGTGACACTGATTGCCTTCCCAGCTCCCTGCCTCAGCTTCCAGCCCCTGCTTCTGCAGGAAGTCAGAAGAAAGCGTGTCCACACTGAGGCTAGTTTTTCCCCAACCTATTAATTTGCTTAATAAACAAGATTCCAGCTATGTTTTCTGCTGCTCCTTCCCTCTGGAGCTGGAGGAGCAGAGTCCCCCGGCCATAGCGTGCTGTGAGCCCGCAGCAGAGAGGATGTTTAGCAATTCCCGGGCAGAAGTGACAGGCTTTGGCACCAGGAGCTCACAGGCCCTGGGTCAGATGCTCCATGGCATGTGGCAGAGGTTCAGCAGGGATGTGCAGCTGCCTCAGGCTCCAGCAAAGGAGTTTCTCCGGCTCTCGTACACAAGAAGTTTTGCCGAGCTGGATGGTTTGCGGCAGGAGACGGATACCTGGGAGAGAGAGAGTTCACACGAGCCTGCCTGCAGACACAGCATGGCACAGGGGAGAGGCAGATCCAGATTCCCAGCCTGTCCCTGTCCTTGAGGCAGGGGATGACCACAAATATGACAGCAGCTGCATTTACCTCAGTCTCCTCATTCATAAAGCAAGAATTATACACCCAGTGCTGTTGAGAGCTGGATTCTAATCTGCTGGGACCAGGAGAGAGGTGGGAGACATGATCCCCAAGCTCTGTCCATCCTTGCCCAGTGATCCTGAGGTACCTCCTCAGGGCTCTAACATTTTGCCTGCAGTGGTGTGATCATTCCATTCTAGAGAGATGTCCTGATTTTTTTTGTTCCCTCCTTTTAAAATCCATCAGGAACAGCAGTGCCATAACCTTCACTGCTGTTAGTCAGAGTGTTGCTCCAAAGGCTGCCATTGCTGGACTGTGTGTAACCAAGCTCAGTTCCCTATTGCAGGAAGCAGCCTGCACTTAAAAAAAAAAAAAAAAAAAGCCCAAACCAAACAAAAACAAGATCAAAAAACCAAAACCAGTCAAAACACCACAATGCTAAATGTAAAATCAGGGTTCATAGATTTACTTAATCTTTTTTCTGAAAGCAAAAAGATAAGCAG